TACCTGCCGGAGGCCGACCAATGAGGAAGCCCCGGGACCTCTGCAGGGCAGCGTGAAGATGTTTGAACCAAAATTACTGATTTAAAAAAAAATGCCTGTCAGAAACTCGTTGCCATGGCAACACGAAAAATCAGGAACATATCTAATTAATATAAAATTGTTGCCAGATAAGTCACCAAAAATGTGACGGTTCTAGCGCCAGCCGTTCGGGTGTTGTTCGAGATGAAAGTGGCCGCGGGCCTCAAAACCCCCCCTCCCCCCGGTCTGAATGGGGTTAAATTAATTGTGACCACGACAGCCGGTACCCGACAGACCCCAGAGCCCGACCGGAGCTGGTGTGGGCTAGATCCCCGACGGGCACCGGCACAAATGGGACCGGAGCTTAATACTGTGTTCTGCGACCATAACAATAAAAGGAAAATCTGGGACAACGCCAGGGGAGAATAATCAACACGTCGATTTTGGTCACCAAACCCCAAAAGAAGAAGAAGAAGAAGAAACAAACCTGTGGTCATTTTATAGCTGGCATAAAAAAGATACCACTACGGAAAAAAAGAAAACAACACGCCTTTGTCCCATATTCCTGTTAGGGATCTTTTTTTATTATAATTTAGAGGTAAACGCCATTAAACACGTATTATGCTAATCAGGACCTTATTTGTATAATTTGTTAGGAAATGCTATATGACTTTATCATGTTGCATAATCAGTAAAACAACATTTTATAAAGCTCAACACCATTTGGAGAAGGTATGAGATCGTAGAACTCTAGTTAGAACATGTCATAAAAATACTATTTAGTCTATGAGAGTTATTGCTGGAATTATTTTCATACATTGTACCCTGTACGCCATATTCCACAAACTATACAGCTTGACGTTTTATACACTTCCGTTAATGACTAACTTATCCAAATCCAAGCTCTTCATGAAATCTTTGTGAAGACTTTCTTTGGCACGGAAATGCTATATGACTTTATCATTATCAGTAAAAAGCATTTTATGTTGTCAATCGTCGGGGGTAAAGCTCAACACCATTTGGAGAAGGTATGAGGTGGTAGAACTCTAGTTAGAACATGTCACAAAATACTATTTAGTCTAGGAGAGTTATTGCTAGAATTATTTCCATACATTGCACCCTGTATACCATATTCCATATAAACTTAATGACTTACTTATTAAAATCCAAGCTCTCCATGAATTCTTTGTGAAGAGTTTCTTTGCGATGCTTCCACCATGTATACACCGCCACTACACCGGTACCGAACACTATGAGTACAACACCGCCAAATTTGAGCAGACTGGGAAACTCCGATTGAACGACGTAGTCCAACAGCACTGCGAGAGGTATGGTGAAGGTCTTGATGGTGGCAGTGATCCCCGCCTTTTCCGTCTTCAGTGACAGTTTTGTGGCAAATTGTGCGCCGCAGACACACAGGCACAGTGCGATGACGCAACCCACCGTCTGTGCCGACATCGCCCAAACCGGTGTCTCTAACCAGTACGTCAGTCCGAGTAGCACGACCGCTCCTGCCAGGTCTGCATAGAAGAGCACGGTTAGAACGGACACCTTTTGTACACCGATGAGTGACCGGGAGATGACCAGATTTGGAGCTCTACTGAACGTTGCTGCGAACGGAAGGAGAAGGGACGCCGTCAGATGCTGCGTGGACGAAGTGTTCTCCGTGATTAATCCAGATGCGACCACTGCAACCCCGGCTACGTTGAGAACGATTCCGAAACCATCCACGACGCCCACAGTTTCCTTCAGGAACAAAAATCCAATACAGGCCGAGGCCAAAGGCATTGACCCTTTTATGATGCCGAAGGCGATCCCAGGGACAACATAGATGAAGGACATATACTGGAAGACAGATCCAAGGTTCTCCAGAATGGTCGACAGCACCAGGAGTAGACTTTGCCGTCCGCTTTCAGTTGTCAGTTTTGGTCTAAAGAAGGGCAGGAAGAACGCGACAGCAAGGGTCTGTACAAGTTTGACGAGGAACATCAGCTGCAGCCCAGGTATGCCTGCCTGGCTATTCAGGGCCATGAACTGTGACGCGACGGCGGACAGAACCGTGTACAGCAGGGCATACAGCACACCGGCTCCGGATGTCAGGAACGTCTGTGCAAATCCGGCTCCCTCTCGGTCTGTCATCTCCTCGTTACAGGTTGTCGCCATGTCCTCAAGTTCGCTGTCGTTGTTTTTCCTCGGCTTTGAATATCGACTTTTGTGATACGGGAAGTTATTGGTGAAGAGAATTCTTCTTGCCAATAATTATAAGGGAAATGTTGTCATCACCCAGACTGGATATTAAAGTACACGGAATGCCATCCAATAATGATAATGCACATGCATTGGACTGTCCACTCGAGTTCAAGTCGGAACTGACAATTCAGTGTAAGAATGAGCGATCCCAACTGGAAGACTCTTTCTCCCTGGCCGAAAAGATCTTAAACTGTTATGTACTGAAACTGAGTTGTCTGTACTGCTCACTGCTCACATACCTAATCCTCATCTGTCACAGACCAGACGGATGATGCTTGCCTTAGGGGGAATTGGAAATGCACCCTTCTGTCGACGAACAAGCTTTGTTAACGCTACGAAAACACAAAAAGTACAGTTTACGTGCCTTTGGTAACTTGTTGAACATCTGTCCTGCCATTGGTCTTCAACTACCTAAGTCGTGCTTTGTTTTTAAACCTAATTTGAGTAATTAGCAAACACCTGTGTCCTGAGCTGATTACAAGCATGACGTGTCGAAAGATGGTTGGCAGTTGTTGAGCCGGTAGTACGACTCTTATATATCATACTATATAGGTCAATCTCCAAGCAGATACACAGCCAATTATATTTTACTGAACTCATTTATTCTATTCGATATTAGGCCACAGCAAGTAATTTCTATGAATGACATCACGCGCGCATTAATTTTCGCCTAATTTTGGAGAGAAAAAAACAAGGAATTTTGTTGCCCTCTGAAAGTTGTCAACATGCCGAAAATGGGTAAAGATTATGTCTGTTGCAATGCCGGAACGAGCATATGAAGAGAGGAGCTCTGATTTATTGTTTTGTCTTTTACTTTGATGCAGTGATGTATTTAATTACTTTTATATGTAATGGTGGCTGTGTATATATGTGGTGTTCCCACTTAAAACAAAACCATTTGTACAATGATTGAAAACATATTACTCCGTGAAGGAGGTCATGACCTCCTGACGGAGTATTGTGGGCAGTAACTTGTTTTTTCGTGCTCGCAGGTAAAACACACGGTTCCCTTTGTTTAATCGGCATGTAGTTTTATATGCCGTCTGTGACCTCAGCATTAGCTTGTTCTGCTTGTCAACACTAAAGCTTAAAGTTTGCTCCATATATTCTGATTGTCAAGGTTTTTTTTCATAGTCTGTTTATCTGTAAATTAGCTACAAGTCCTTCTTGCAGCTGCAGGTTCCGAAGCGAAAGCATCCCTCATTTTTTACTTCACTGCTCCATATACTCCCAACATCGTGTACGCCTCCTCGACAGACTTTTACAATTAAACATCCCATTCTTAGATATTAACAACCTATCCGATAGTGCTACTGTGTACCTGCTACTCAATGGATCACCTTTACTTTCATCTAAAGTCAACTCTCAAATACTCATTATTACACAGCTATATCTCTCTGAAACTAAGCGATTTAACAACTGATTCATACTTCTATATTCATTTGCAATACTAGTATCTTAATAGCTAAACTCTGCTCTCTTGTTACCTGGACCATACCCATGTTTTGTGTTGTAATTTTTATTTTATGTCTAAGGCCATGTTGATTTGATTATATGGATGACATCCGCGCGCGCATGAATTTTCGGCCGTTTCAAAAAAAAAAAAGTTTTCAACCATACTGTAAATCGTACAAAACAGTTGCAAAATGAGCAAAAAATATACCGTAAGTTACAAAAAAAAACATAACAATGTCGTACGTAGAATGCCAAAATCAAACGAAAAAAGACAAAATTGTTAAGAAATGAACTTGAAGACTAGATTATTCGCCAAACCATATTCTGTCCCATTTGTTCAACCCTCATGACCACGTAGATTTCATAATGAAAACAACTTTTTTTTTGCAAAACTTTTTCTTTATTCGCACGCGCGCATCAGTTTTGGGGTTCCCAGAGGATGTCATCCATATAATCAAATCAACATGGCCTAATAATAATAAAAAAATATTAAAAAGCGTTTTTTCCCGTACACAGATAAGTGCCGTAAGATGGACTGTCCCGAGGAAGCGTTTGTCGCCCACAACTGCTCCTGTATGTGTAACGACATCAACGACTACTCAGCCATCTTCTCCTGTCCAGAGAGAACACTCAAGGAAGGTAAGACACACGTTTAAAGACGTACTTCTATCAAACCCCTTAAAAGTTTTGTAAAGAATGTATTTGCATGTTCTGAAAAACTTAAACTGTTCTCCAACTCAAAATTTGACTCACCAGAAATTTTCGACTGAATCACTCAGTCTTCCTCAGCTATCTGACCCAAACCAAATGCTGTGGACACGTGATTTTTCCCACGTGTGACGTCAGCAAAGGGTCAAAGGTTGTCTGAAGTCGATATCGCCCCCCGTCCCGGTTGAGCAATGGTTGAAGTGCCCTGATGTATATGGCCTCTGTATATGGGGCGATATCGACTTCAGACATCCTTTGACCCTTTGCTGACGTCACACGTGGGAAAAATTACGTGTCCACAGCATTTGGTTTGGGTCAGATAGCTGAGGAAGACTGAGTGATTCAGTCGAAAATTTCTGGTGAGTCAAATTTTGAGTTGGAGAACAGTTTAAGTTTTTCATAATGTAATTTACCAACTCAGATGAACTTTCATGCTTTCTAGGGCTCAAATGCCTCTCTGTTACACTGTTAAGAACCAAATGTTTTCTGAATTCGAAAGTCCATCTACGCTGGTTGGTCGCCTACTGGTGCTCAGTCTATTGCGGTTGTTGCGGGTTCTCAACGGGGCTACGGGAGCTCTGCCCCGCCCGCCTGACTCAGCTAGGTTCCCCGGTAGGTTTTGCTAATCAACTCCCAGAGTGCCAAAAAAACCTATCAGATGCATAACACTTCCACCGGGCAACCTGTTGAGCTAGACGAGGGAAAACTATTTAGAGCCCCGAAGACAGCTCCGGATACCATGCTATCTACAAGACAGAAAGGATAACCTTGTGTGTCGTGTGTCCATTAAAGTCAGATCGTTCTTCCAGATTAATTTGATCAATTTTGCCTCCCCGCGCTGTTGTAGTCCACCTGTCGCGGAGACAAGCCCGGGCGTGTTACCACGGACACGGGTCTGACTACCGCGGGACGCTGGCCGTGACGGAGGCCGGGGAACCCTGTCTCAAGTGGAGCGAGGCTACATACAGGCAGTTCAACACTTATGTAAGCATATCTTGTATTTTGTTATGTTTAGCGAAGGAAAATACATTGTTTTTGCTCTGTTTCTTCTTCCTCTTCTTCTCCACACAAATAAGGTCAATGGCCTGAACCAGAGGTCTGTCAGCATGGTAACTGGTGTTGGTATACATATCATGTTGCAATTTTATAGCAGGAGGGATTTAGACTCCTGTCACCAAATAATATAAATGAGTTTGAGAAAGAATTAACAGAGCAGACCATATGTGAAGGTTAACATTGTGCATTTACTTTACAAATGTTACGTTTCTAGTTTAAAGTTAAAACTTAAGATCCAACACGAAGAAGTTCTCTCACCTAGAGCTTTAGACCAGTCACCCTGGTCTTCCTCAGTAGACTGACCCAGTTAGGCTTGTCACGTGCACGTGGCTTCTTTGAAGTGTGACTTAGACACTGGGTCAAAGGTATCTGGTAGACGATGTCGGCCCCCGTCGCGGTTGAGTAAAGGGTAATGGGCCCTGATGTTAATAGCCTATTAGTTATATCTAATTTGTCCCCAATATTCCTGCTTTGTTTTGTTTGTCTGTGTACAATTTCTACAATAACTTTATAAGTTAAACTTATAGAACGATAGTAAGTTTCTTTTGTATCTGTTAACTGTATCCTTTCATCTTGTTTTCTTGTGACCTGTACTTAGCCAAGTGTGGCAAAAATATGCAATAAAGATCTTCTTCATTCATTGACCAATTTACATAGAATTTTCCTCAATCCTCCCAGAACTATCCTGTTGGCTATCACGGCCTGGGTGACCACAACTACTGCCGGAACCCTGCGGGCCGGATCCTGAAGAAGCCGTGGTGTTACGTCAACTCACACAACAGCTGGGGGTACTGTAACGTCCTGGAGTGCAGAGGTACAGCAAAACATCTTCGATTATTCTGTGTTGGTACAAGTCATTATGAAATAAAGACTAAGCTTTAACTTCCAACACTTAGATTACAGAAGTGGGACAAATTTTCGGTTGACTCCGTCAGCCTTGTTCACGGAATGGACCCGTCTACTCTTGGAACGTGACGTCAGAGACACATGGCCGTAGTAGCGGGTCATGCCGTACGCCATACATTCCATTTCTGTAGTCTAAGTGTTGGAAGTTAAAGCTTAGTCTTTATTTCATAATGACTTGTACCAACACGGATGAACTTTCATGCTACATTATATCCCTTTTCATTACAAAAGAAACGTGTAGTTAGTTATGAGTGTCAGTATATGCTATAATAACATACTCTATTGTATTGGCTGTGTCTAGTGTAGCGTTCTCAACATGTCGGCAGAACGTACTGCGCTTGTGCGAAACCCGTAATGTATTGTGCATAGCACTTCTTTCGGCAACTCGTCTCATTTGAGGTCGCATTCGTGACATGACGTTTATCGACTTCAAATGTTGTGTCGGAAAAGATATCGTCTGCAACGGGCAAACATCCAACTAAAACCGTGAAAAATTATGGTTCCGCGCAGACGTGCTCATCTAGTGTAGCCCTCTTCATGTTCGGATGACTTTGGACTTTGATCATGTGACCTTACAAACACGTGACATATTGGTCAACAGCCATTGGTCAATGAAGAACGGGCTCCTCCGTCAGAGATATTTAAAACTAGAGTTCCACGATCTCATACCTTCGCCAGATGATCTTTATGACATCCTCTTTTGAATATTATTAAACAAACGCCCCTGCAGTTCCAGGACAAGCCGCTAGCATGTCTAGGTCGTGAGATATCATATCGGAAGTTCAGCTGCAGTACCATACGAAGCCGCTAGGGGGCCCAAAATCTAATAATTTCGAGGTCTCATTAAGACCTACCGACCTACCAAATATCAACACAATCCATTGTAGCCTTCTCAAGTTATCGTGTTTACAGACACACAGACACACACACAGACACACACACACACACACGAACGCCTCTGAAAACATAACCTTCTTGGCGAAGGTAACAAACTCCGTTGTTGTAAACCGCCTCATTTCTACAGAAGTGTACAGCCCGGTGCAGCCCACCATTCCCGCGAGACCTCCGACACCGAAGCCCTCGCAGTGCAAGTCCACGGAGTTCAAATGTGCCGACGGGAACTGCATCCCAACCGCCTACCGCTGTGACAGGGACAACGACTGTACCGACAACTCAGACGAGCTGGGCTGTGTCTACGGTAGGATTGGTACTCATTTTACATATTGTTTTTGCACTGTTTCTTCTTCCTCTTCTTCTTCTTCCGTTCCAAACAGGACCAGATGTCTATCACCATGGTAACTGGTGTTGGGTTACATAATGTTGTAATTTTATTGCAGGAGGGATTTAGACTCCTGTCACTATATATTATTATGAATATGTTTGAGTAAGAATTAACAGAGCATATGCATTTGCTTTGCAAATGTCAGGGTTCTAGTCCAAATGTTTGGTCCAAAACAAGAAATGATATGATCTCACCAGTACGAATTTTCTACCAGGCCTTCCAAGCTTCCTCAGGTTGAACTGAACTACTACTTGAACGTCTATACGTGTTCTTCCGGGACATAAGCAATGGGTCACAAAGTTTGTATCGACCCCCGTCCCGGCAGGAAAAAAACGCTCCCATGTAGATGTAGTACAAGTAAAGCGGTTGGCCTAATGTTACTTCAAAAACTTTGTATCCAAATCTACTTCTTTCTATCTGTTTAATAGAGTCATGTTTCTGCATTTTAAAGATGGTGAATACTAAGTGTATGTACATTAGGAAGAAATTTTAAAACAAATCGTGCCTTTCAGATACCTGCCCTCCACTGAATATTCAAGCAGACGTCATGATTTCCAACTGTGAGAGCGGGAAGCCGCAGCTTCGCGGGAAGCTGTGCCGAGTTCTGTGCTTGGTGAGTTCCGGACCGGGAGAGACCATCATCTCAACTACCTGTCAGAGCAACGGGAAATGGTCTGATCCGAAAGGGAAGCTTGCGTGTGAACGTAAGTTTTCTATCTGTTTTTTTTTTTAACGGATTGGTTCAATGCAAGGCCTATACAACCACTTCTCGGCATTGAAAAAGAAATATGACAGAAACATGGCTATGTCAAGAGATGGCGGTGAACGTTTCATTTGAAAGCCTGTAGATTGTAGGTTGGTGGGAAACACTTGTCAGGGAGGGAATTCCAAAGCTTGGCCGTACGGGGAAAGAAACTGTCACTGTAAAAAAGATTTCGAACAAGGAATTTGGACGGTGACGTTGTGTGAGCTAGTGGAGAACCTAGTGGAACGCTTAAAATTTCTGAGTGGTGGAACTAGTTGAGTGAGTTCTGCAGAGCAATGACCAAGAAAATATCTGTAAAAGAGGGATAGAGAGGCAACATTTCGTCTATGAGAAAGGGGGCTAACTTGAAGAAAAACATTTTGTTTTTGCTCAGTTTCCTCTTCTACAAGCACAAAAGGTAAATGACCTGGACCAGATAGTCTATCACCATGGTAACTATAGCTACATGTACTGTTGGGTTACATCATCAATTTTATAGCAGGAGGGATTTAGACTCATTTCCATTTTATCATAATCGCAACATGCGATGAAAGAACCCCGACAAATTTTTATATACTTTTAAATCTACCGATTAACGTGAGTGGTATATATATAGGGTACCTAAAACGAGGAAATGCACGACGTGCGGTTCCTCTTGACACGCACAGGGCGCACGTAGTGTATTGTTTATTCCTGCCTTTAGCTGACATGTTACGTTGCCTTGTGACTGTAAGACAAGAGACCTATACCTTTACAGTGCCAGACAACCCAGTGATTCCTGCCACCAGACCCAAACAGTCTCTCACTACACCCGCGCCAAAAAATCCCGCTGTAACTACGCAAAAACCGTCTCACACGACCAAGATGCCCGCGACAACACCTTCAGCGACCACGAAACCACCACCAAAGACCTGCCAAGATCTGGTCTTACCCGGTGAAGTTACTGCTTCGTGCGATGGCGACAAGAACGAGATTGGGGCCGTCTGTCTCTTGAAGTGTTCTACCGGCGAGGGACAGTCGACCACCAAGTGCCTGCCGGACGGATCGTGGTCTATACCGAAGGAGAACCTTGACTGCCCGAGTTAGTTATCATCGTTAACCGCACATTGACGGACTCAACTAACCAATTATTGTATGTAGTTATGTCTGTGCTAACCTCGTGAGTTTTGACTGATAAAGTGTATGCATTGTAGTGAGTTTTTTTTGTTGTTGTTGTGAGTTGTTGTTTTTTGTTGTTGTTGTGAGTTGTTTTTTGTTGTTGTTTGTGATACTAATAAACGTTTTCCAACTTGTAGTTGATGTCTTTCAACCACCAGGTCACAGAGTGTGAACGCACCTCAGAACACAGAGCATGTCATGACACACTGTGCACAACGTTACGTACCGAGTCACACCACAAGAATCTCACACGTGGTTCGTTTCTTCAGGTGCTAGCTGGAAGTCACGGGATACTAGCTGGTGCATGATTCCAACCATTTGTGACGTCTTCACACACGTCTGCACCAAGCAATTGGCGTTCTTTGCACCAACTACAAACAAACATAATTGAATGATTACATGTTAAAAAGTTTTTTTTTCTTTCGTAGGGCTGTCAACGCCAGTTATTCCAACGACAACTAAAATGTTAGTCAACACGAAGGAGCCAGAAGAAACGTGTTCTCCATTCTTCGTCCCGGCAACTGTGCTGACCAAGTGTTTTGGCGAACAGCCTGTCGGGAAGACCTGCGTTCTGACATGCGCATCAGGTGGAACCGGGACCGCCATTACAAAATGTCTGCCCGGAGGATCATGGTCTACCCCAACTGGCAATCTGAAGTGTTCTGGTTCGTTGTCCCTCTATGTTTTTGTTTTATAATATTTCTTGGCCATCATTTGGTTACTACATACAGTGAATATTAGATATTTATGTTTACCGAAGGAAAAGATATTGTTTTTGCTATGTTTCCTCTTCTTCTTCTCCGAACAGTGACCTCTGACCTGACAGAACCAGACTGTCTCTCACCATGGTAACTGGTGTTGGGTTACATCATGTTGCAATTTATAGTAGGAGGGATTTAGACTCCTGTCACCATATATGTGAATGTGTTTGAGTAAGAATTAACAGAGCAGACCATATACGTTAGACCATGATGCATTTCCTTTACAAATGTTACCTTTCTAGTTCTAAGAAATAATAAAGAAAACGTTAGATATGTCAGTTTGGCAGCATAACAGTAACATTGTATATTACATATTGCTGGTTAGATAAGTTTTATTTTAGCCATATTTTTTGTCTTCTATAGGAGTACATGTAGAAACCACACAGAAGCCTACTGTCAAACCAGCACAAAAGCAGCCCACAGAGAAACCAACGGACAAACCAACTCAAGAACCCACAGTCAAGCCTACACAAAAACCCACAGCAACCCCAACCCAGAAACCAACGGTCAAACCAACACAAAAGCCCATACTAATAGCGAATCCAGGAACGCCAAAACCCACTCCACAGCCTACCCAGAAGCCTCTGCCCCCAGGAGACTGTTACTCGGGTGACGGTTCAACGTACCGCGGATTCAAATCCACCACTACTAATGGAAGATCGTGTTTGAAATGGAGCGAAGCAAGATACCAATATTACAACACTTTGGTGAGTGTACGGAATTCTTTATCTAAATGTGGTGTCTAAATGTGTTGTATTTGCAGGATCCGTTGCTTGTTGATCTGTTTGAATGCTTCTATCCATATGGCCAAGTGAGACAGATGCTACTTTGAAAAATTATTTATTTATTTACTTATTTTTATTTTATTTTTATTGGTTCAGCTGTACAAAAGACAACCAGTGTTGCCCAACTAGTTATAAGACTATATCAAAGGGCTAACCCTGGAGACAAGGACAGCTACATAAATATATAAAGACAGCATATTAAAATCAAAGTCGTCAACTCATTACATCTAGAGGATCATCTATACATACAAGTACACAAAGGTGAAATTATTCCATGTGGCTGCCACCGATACAATATTCGTCAGCGAGCTCCTACTTTACTACTTTCCTCTTTGCATCCCTGTGACTCCTTATAGAGATTCACAGCTGGGCAGTACGGGCTTGGCGACCATAACTACTGCAGAAACCCGGCAGGTGTGGAGACCGAGCCGTGGTGTTACTACATCAACCCTGCCACGCGGCGTGTCGCCTGGAGCCACTGCGGGGCACAGGAGTGTGGAGGTACGGGAAAAGTACATATTTGCATATTTGCCGTCACGTGACTATGACGTAAGTGTCCGCCATATTGGTGGGTTCACCGTAACTGCCTTTTTTGGACGTAACACAGTTGTATTTCGAGTCAGAATGGGTTATCCGTTGCCAAAATTCATAACAGTAATGTGGTATAATTGTTCTTAAGGGAATTCGAAATATTATTTCTTTACGCCCAACAATTATTGTTCCAAAGATCTTGTTAGCCACTAGTAGTAGTACATTTTTGTATCGTAAGTATCAGCTATAGCTAACAGCGCCACTCAGCGATTTACCCAGGAAGTGACTTCTAGCCAACCTTTTCATATAAGTTCGTGACATTTGTCTATATACAATTGTTATGACAGTTATCATTCCTTTTATTTGTTACTTTTTACTTGTTTTTTTATTACTATGTGTGTAGGAGAAAGAATCACCACGTCGTGCGCAGTGCGGGGCAGTACCGGGTACCGCGGCACACAGGACGTCACCATGCGGGGGGACAGGTGCCTGGACTGGAGTACCACCACCAACCGCCAGTTCAACACCCAGACCTACCCGAACGGGGAGGGGGGCATCGGGAACCACAACTACTGCCGTAACCCCGTGGGGGACCCGTCTCCCTGGTGTTACATCCAGGAAAAACCCAACGGACTGTACTGGGACTACTGTAGCGTTCCGTCATGTTGACGGCAACGTATGAGGGAATTTTTACTTTAAAGGCGTCCAATGCAATTTCAAGGTGGCAAAAGAAAAATATTCCGGATGAGAAAATTTGTCTGATATTGACATTTACTGCCATTTCTTGGCACATTTTGGCCATCATTTGACGCTTGAAGCATTTGAAATAGCCCCAAAACATGGTACATGAGGCGTCTCATAATATTCAGGTACATTATGGGTACCACCCATAAATAGTTAGAACAAGCCTAAGATACAAAACAAGCAACTTTTTGCCTCACAGATGTCTGTATGGTTTGGGATAGGTTTGGTTCAACTTACTACATTAAAAGAATTACCAGAAAATTGAAGATCCAGTTATGACACCATGAAATTGCTTTGGATGCTTACTTTAAGAATTTGTAACAATCACCACATCATAATAACCTTGAACTTCGTTGAAGGGCAATTTACTTTTCTTGAATTTCTCCATCTTTTACCATGTCTCCGTGAGATTGTTGAATGATAAGATTTTTTTATGTTGACATTTAGTGCTCTAAACGCTTATAAATATCTGCGATTTCGTCAGTTGTTTAGAGCAAAATGTATGTGCTTTTTTTTCTCTGGGGCCATGGAAATATATGTGTGTAAACTAGGGGTCGATGAGTGTTTAAACTCAAAAAGGAGGGGTTATATACGTAGATCTGTCAATAGCACGTAGAATTCTTCTTTTATTTAGGCGTAGAAATAGACATAGCACGACAGTTAACAGTACACTGTACACCATATGTAAAAAGCATACACATTTCCCATGAATTTATAGAACTTGAGATTTGATTATTGAATTGTTGCACCAATATTGTACGTAATCACACACGATATATATATATAGCCTTGAGCAACTGTCTTTAGAACAACTGACAAACCTACCATTTAACGTTCAAAGTGAAAAGACCGATCCCGAATGTCCATCACAATTAGAAGTTCAACCAATGAGAGAAGGACAATTTTCGGTTTGACCAATGAGAGAGTAGCTCCATGTCCGTCAAATATTTGCATTTCTATATTTTGACGGTGTGGGCGGGGCTTCAGGATTGGTAAAATAGTTACACTCTCATTGGTCGAACCAATAATTGCCATTCTCTCATTGGTTGAACTACAGAATGGTTAATCATATCGAATACCCCACTCCCATGTACAGAGGAACTACAGGCTTGTAATAAACTGCACTTTTTATACTGAGAAATCCTGAGTTCTTTGTGGTATGTTCATGAAATCATATTTTTTCATTAATCAAATTCATAAATGTATTTGACGACAGTTGGAAGCTTGTGAATGATTACTGCTATATATATATGTACACATTGCCAAAGTCCATTGGCCAAATCAAATGCAACATTACAAGAACCTTAGTGACAATCAATTTTCAAAGATCAATTAAAAAATTGTAGATCAAGAACACCCTGTATGTACATAATGAATAATTCTATTTTTTTCAATTGTCAGATATATCAATATCTCCAACCGGCAAATATGATGAATTCCAATCAAGTTTTTGCAGCAGTGACGTAAGCGTAAACATTACGCCTTCTTGTATATGAAGCAAAAAATATTGCAAGTATATAACACATGTCGAAACCTTCTCTGTAAGCATAATGTCTTACGTAAGAACGACTGTTGTTATATTTACAGAAGGAAAACATATTGTTTTTGCTACGTTTCTTCTTTTCCAAACAGTGACTTTTGACCTGACTGACCCAGACTGTCTCTCACCATGGTAACTGATTGATATTGTTGCAATTTTATAGTAGGAGGGATTTAGACTCCTGTCACCATATATGTGAATGTGTTTGAGTAAGAATTAACAGACCAGACCATGTGCGAAGGTAAACATTATGCATTTGCCTTGCAACTGTTACTTTTCTAGTTTGACTGCTGTTTCTCCTGCCTTATTAGTACAGCTTCAAAACGTTCAGTGGATTTCCAAAACGTTCTTTCGCGTTGGTACGTTTGTCGCCCTTCGTCGTAACGTCGCACTGAGGACTTGTGAAACTTGTCGTAGTGACTTTCTTTCCGTCATCTTTCTGGCCGTTTCCGTTTGAAAGTTTGGAAACCGGACGTGGCGAGTAGTCATTAAGATTGAGTATAGTGGAGTACAGTTTGTCGTTACTTGCTAAGCAGCTCTGGTGGTAGGCAGGGTTGCTGTTGTAGACTATCTGGCTTCTCCGTTCCTCCATGCGTTTCCTTGCCCTGGAGAGTAAGAGTCTCTGCCGGAGATGCCAGGCACCCGTACCTAACACTATTCCCATGATAATCGACGTTATGGCAGTAACTGCAAGCACTGTAGAGTAGTTAGACGGACCTGGAAAACAGGAATGAATGTATCATATATCAGATTTTTATGTTTAGCCTCGCAGAAGGAAAACATATTGTTTTTGCTCTGCTTCTTCCTCTTCTTCCCAAACAAATAAGGTCAGTGACCGGAACCAGACGTCTGTCACCATGTTAACTTAAGTGTTGAGTTACATCATGTTGCAACTTTACAGCAGGAGGGATTTAGACTCCTGTCACCATATATATGAATGTGTTTGAGTAACAATTAACAGTCTGAGAGCAGACCACATGCGAAGGTAAACATTATGAATTTGATTTGCAAATGTTACCTTTCTAGTTATAATCTGCATTTTTCAGAATCGCATTTTTTTAAACAAAAAGAAGAAGCAAGCTAAATGGACAGAATATTGGTGAATACACAAGACATATACAAACTGGGTAATATGTAGGTCAGTTTTTTAGACAATTTTAAGATAAAAAAGGAAAACTTTCTGTCCTTTGCCCACTATTCTAATATCTTATTTGTATATGACTGACATGTATCAAACTGGATTTCATCCAATTATCACTTGACAACGAGCTAATAGATGTATAAAAGAAACCTCAACTTACCTTTGTTTTGATCTTGTCTGCATTCTGTTGCATTGCTGCAGTTGCCCTTTGGTGACGTAATCCGTGGTGTCATGGCGGTCACCTTGGCCGTTACATTTGAAATCGGCAAAGTAAATCTTTCTAATGTCGTGTAGAGTTTAGTGGAACGCCCAACCGAATTGCTGAAACCGGAAACGGATGTAGTAGGTATGGTGGGAACAGTCTTGTAAGTTGACTTGTGATTGGGCGGAGTTGTGGCCAATGGCGTTGAGGTTCCTTTACCTGGCACTCCGGCCGTTTGGACGCCGTTGATTGGTAGGTGATTGCCTGTCACGTGATGGGGAGTTGATGGGAAGGTGACGTCATTGACACTTCTTGGTGCTGGCCTTGCCGATGTGAAGATCGTTGCTAATAGAAAAAGGAGACGCGATTTTAGACATCGCACAAATGATATCATGAGTAATAATATAAGCATTCATTTGAAGGGATCACAAAGGATTGTTTGTTCGTTTGTTTGTTTGTTTATTTGCATATAATCAGAGAGAAGAACAATAAAATGAACATATTACAGTAAAATAGGATATGCAGGGGAAAGATAAGAAGCCATAATGACTTGTCTGTGATCTTCCACCGACTAAATTAATTGACAACTGTAATAATGGTAACAAATCAAATGGTAATAATAAATAACAATAAGTAATTGAAAAAAACGATCAATATGATAACGGTAACAAATCAAATAGTAACAATAAATAACAAAAGTAATTGGTAAATAACGTTAATTAGAAACGGTATGTTAAAAAATAAGTTAACAGAGGATGGTTGTTTAGTACCAGCTATTCGTATTAATATTTTTGTATTATTCAAAACGTTGCAGAAGTTTGTTAAAAGCGAAACAATGCACAAAAACATCTAGCTAGTTTACATAGCCAAACATTAGTTTTAAAGGCACCCCGTGCAGTTTTTAGGGCTTGGAAACCCAATTTTTCAATGTCAATATTCTAGTCATCTATCTACATACTGATGAATTGAACCATCATGGAACAAAACCCTCATGGAACAAAAATACACAAATTTTTGACGGAAAATGGTTACTGGAAGGGACCATGGCTGATTTTTAGGGTACCACCAAGAACATAAAGGACTCATCTCGGGGCTTGTTTATGCAGTTTTAAAAGCCCAAAGTATGAAATACTACTCAAATGTGCTAATGTGAAGCAGTATGTGTCAATATCACAAAGATTGCCTTGTTCACAATATTTCCAGTTTTGCTACCGCATTAGATACCTTTAACAAGTTACGCAGCAACAAACGTTAGAAAAGTGGGACGACAACAACAACCACACAATCGTCCTCTTTACCATGAAAGCTGGCTATGCATGCATGAAAGACATGAGCAAATATACAACCAGGCCTCGTCTCAGGTTTACGTTTCCTAATGAGTATTGGAGAAGTCAACACCAGATATGTACACCCGGGCACGTTCCACGGAGTCTGTCACCGAGAACCGGTCACCGAGAAGGTGGATAAGACCTGGTCTCGAGTTATGTGACACCATTTTCGAGCTTAAAGGCATCCAATGCAATTTCAGGGCAGCAAAACTGGAAATATTCTGAATAAGGCAATCTTTGTGATATTGACACATACTGCTTCACATTAGCACATTTAGTCAGCATTTCATACTTTGGGCATTTAAAACTGCATAAACAAGCCCCAAGATGAGTCCTTAATTTTCTGGTGGTACCCCAAAAATCAGCCAAGCGCCCTTCCAGTAACCATTTTCCGTCAGAATTTTGGCTCTATGAGGGTCAATATACAAAAAAATTACAATAGTGTGGTTTCAACTCAGTATGTAGATAAGTGACTAGAATATTGGCTTTGAAATATCGGGTTTCCAAGCCCTAAAAACTGCACTGGATGCCTTTAAGCTCCCTGGCCCCAGATTTAACCTCTTTTTATGGCACTAACCTGGTACAACTAGACACGAAAACATATGAGATTTACCACACACCATAAAGCTGTAAAAATCTGAGTATCGCAAAGATATCTACTTATAGCTGACGGCAAACAGTAAAATATTTTCAGCACCATATACAATAGAGCATTCGTTGTTGATTAACACCCCCTATAAATACCTCTGTTTGTTTCACGTGAAAATTTCGACAGAAGAACGTACTGTAGTTGAAATGTCTGTTGGTCAGTACACATCCGGGGTGCTGATGCTGCAATTAACTATGACCTATTAATCATTAAAAGCCCCTTTAAGTATGGCGAAGGCGAAATAAAAGACGAAAAAACATTGCTGATCAAATATATACCAAAAGTTCGTCAAGTCAACATGTGTAAAATGGAAGCTGACAGAAAAACTGACATACCGATAGTTGCCTTCGTACCAAGGCCACTGTATCTAAAACACCCCAGTATTCACATTTTCTTGTCTTATTATTCCTTAAAAACATCAAGACATGAAAGAAAGACAAGGTCGTTCTAAGACACTGAATCCAGGCCACTACACTACGCTTAAATTACGAATAAGTCTATGGTAAACATCACACTGTTCTACATGTACACTACTGAGAGAAATGTAGTTCTGTACTTTGTCAATAACTGCACTGTTTGTACGAACGTTCTGATATATATAGCCCTAAATAGGCTTGAACTTTAGTAGGAAATTAATCATTTATAATTCGGTAAAGGCTACTGTATCGACAAAGATTATGGTCTAAAACAACCCAGTGTTCACATTTTCTTGTCTTATCATTCCTTAAAAACATCAAGACATGGCAGAAAGACAAGTTCGTCCTAAGACACGAATCCAGGCCACTACACTACGCTTGAATTACGAATACTTCTATGGTAAACATCACACTATTCATTTGTGTGGCGTTCGCCGTCGGGAATTATTTCATTGTAAAAGAACTTACATACATGTGAAGTATAATTTTTCGTAGCCTCCATAGCATGCCAAAAACTGGGGGGTTTGGGTCTTCATGGTCTTTGGGATCTTTTATGTGCTATTTTCTGATTGCATGTAGACAACATAGCCGGCCTGGTTGAATTACCTCCGTTTAACTGGGCTAATCAAAAAACAGCCGAAGACCACCAAACCCCCAGTTTTAGAAGCCTGCTACGGAGGCTAATTTTTTTTAATTATAAATGAATAATTTCCTACTAAAGTTCAAGCCTATTTAGGGCTATATATATCAGAACGTTGGTACAGCCAGTGTAGTTATTGACAAAGTACAGAACTACATTTCTCTCAGTAGTGTACATGTAGAACAGGAACATTCTTGTACTTACCCCAAATCTGTAGAGTACATAGCACGAAAACGAACTTTGTGCCCATGATCTTCTTGTACGTTTGTTCCCTAAGAAAGACTTCTAAAAATGTTCTGCTGGGCTTTCGCAGGATTCACGGTGGTTTACTCTGGTACTTCCTCATTGCGTTCTGGTTTCATACCAGTGTTAACAGGTGTGCCGGCACTTGTGAAAACTTGTTTACGGAAAAAAATGTGCAAGGCCGCGGGCGGTGTGTCGCCCGTGCCTCTCCCCCGGTGAAGTCACCGTTAAAATTACAACTTGTTTGTACAAAAAACAACGTGTTGGCAGTTTGCGGGTCAGTGGCAGTTTTTGGGTCACCGCCTTTCTTTGTGAGAAGACAAGACCGACAGAGTGCCGTGATGGAAAAAAATGGCAGAGTGCGCGACTCGGAACTTAGAGTACCGGGTTCGAGTCCTGGCATGCCACCGACCTTGTGCCCTTGGGAAAGGCACTTTAAACGACTTTCCTCACTTAGCTCAGGTGTAAATGAGTATTGTCCTGTCATGTATTTGTCCCCTGTGTTGGTGTCGGCATTAATATAAGTTGAAAAAAATTGAGTGTGTCGTCACCACGTCTGGTGATTACATGTTGGAATAAAAAAGAAAAAAGAAAAAAAAAGATTGTTCCAACAACTTGGAACAAGTTGTTGTTTCAACCAACGCTTTTTATTTCATGCTCACATTCTATAAGTTCCCTTGATTATGACATTTTTCACCGACATTGTGTTATTGCGTTGCGTTTTCCTGTCGATCTGATATTATCTCTCTCCAGAAATAGAGATGAAATAAAATGGCAAAAAAATTGGCCGTGTAAAAGAAAACTCTCGTATATACTTAACCCACCTGATGAAACTATTTTCGGATGTTTAACCATCTATATCATCCCGATCAGTTATAATTTCTCAATGAAGCAGGTTAATATAAGATGTATGTAGCAGGTTAATATAAGATGTATGTAGCAGGTTAATATAAGATGTATGTAGCAGGTTAATATAAGATGTATGTAGCAGGTTAATATAAGATGTATGTACGTCGATGAAGGTTAGACATCCAGGTAATACGATATGCAAATATGCAAAAAAACAGTTACTCAAGCTGGATATGATTTTGAAAATCATATCCAGTTGCTTGAGTAACTGTTTTTTGGCATAAGATGTATGTAGCAGGTTAATATACGATGTATGTAGCAGGTTAATATAAGATGTATGTAGCAGGTTAATATAAGATGTATGTAGCAGGTTAATATACGATGTATATAGAAGGTCAATATAGGATGTATGTAGCAGGTTAATACAAGATGTATGTAGTTGGCGTAAACGGATAATTTGACAAAGGCACTGTATACAAATGAGCTATTTCTGGCGTAAACGGGTAATTTGACAAGGTGTTCACTCAACCCGTGCCTCGTTGCTTCGGTGAGTGTGTATAATTCATGGCCACTGACGCGTAATACTGAGAGTGAGAGAGCATGTTAATGGTACATATTAGTAGGGGTAACCTACGAGTGTAGTCTGATACCAAAACAAAGCCTTCACGGGCGTCCAATGGAGTTTTTAGGGCTTGGAAACCCGATTTTTCAAAGTCAATATTCTAATCTACATACTGAGTTGAAACCACACTATCCCAAATTGAACGTTATGGAGCAAAAATACCCAAAATTCTGACGGAAATGGTTACTGGAAGGGCCCTGGGCTGATTTTTAGGGTACCACCCATAAAATAAAGGTCTCACATTGGGGCTTGTTTCTGCAGTTTTAAATTCTCAAAGTATGAAATGTGCCTATGTGAAGCAGTATGTGTCAAGATCACAAAGATTGCCTTATTCAGAATATTTCCAGTTTTGCTGCTCTGAAATCACATTTGGTGCCTTTAAAATCTAAGCCTGAGACGCAAAAATAATTGTATAGGATTCCCTGAATGTTAAGAAGGCTGTGAAGTAACGTAAACCAAGATGCGTCATAGAGGATGTTTCTTTAAGAAAGTAGAACACTCTCTTAAGGAAACGTAAGGAAACGCTTGAAACAACGCTTCCCTCTTTGCAACTACCACGGCTACCGGTTGCAAATACTTGAGAAAGAATTACACAGTCCTTTTCTGACGCAAGTAGCTAGTTTGAAAAGAACTCCATGTTGTTTGAACAGCTAGACCCTTGGTAAGGCCACAGCAAGTAATTTTGTGGATGACATCAGCGCGCGCATTAATTTTCGCCTGATTTGGGGGAAAAAAAACAAGAAATTTTGTTGCAGTCTGACAGTGGTCACCATGCCGAAAATGGGCAAAGATGTCTGTTGCCATGCCGGAAGGTGGATGGCAGATAACTATGAAGAGAGGAGACAAGAAAAGGCTCTGATTTATTGTTTTGTTTATTACTTTGATGCAGTAATGTGTGATGCTGACTATGTATATGTGATGTTCCCACTGAATCAAAACTATTTGTACAATGTTTGAGTCAAAATTTTAATTTGTAAGAACCTTGTTTTTTTCTGCCCGTCTTGTTTTTTTTTCGCCCGCTCGCATTAGATTTGGAGTCTGCGGAGGATGTCATCCATAAAATTTACTTGCTGTGGCCTAACACTGCCAAGGACGTGCCGTGGTTGGTCGGGGGTGACGGTCACGCTTCAGGTAGAGACAAACACAAACGACAGGTGAGACAACATTACACCTGTTCGCGCCAGTGACGTCATAACTGTCGCTGTGCCAACCAATGGCGTGACGTTGTCAAACCATATACATGATCCTGCCAAATACATGACTCCGACATAGCCTCCGTAGCAGGCTTATAGAACTGGGGGTTTGGTGGTCTTCGGCTGTTTTCTGATTAGCCCAGTTCTAAAAACGGGGGTAATTCAACCAGGCCGGCTATGTTGTCTATATGCAATCAGAAAATAGCACATAAAAGACCATGACGACCCCTAAACCCCCCAGTTTTTGGCATGCTATGGAGGCCAACTCTGACACTACTTGGGGGTTTGCAATATACCTGAGACAGGTAGCCTGGTACCCAGCCTTATCGTGGTTGCGGCATGGTACCTAGTTGGGGCAGGCTGTGTCTTCGGGGCTCTTTCCCCGCCCAGTACAACAGGCCACCCGGTAGGAGTGTTTCGCTAATAGAGATGGCACGCCGGGGTGATTTGCCCTAACACGAACGTGGTGGGGCTAATCAATCTCCCATCGTGAAATACCCACCGGGAAACCTAGCTGAGGCGGGCGGGGAAGAGGTCCTGCAGCCCCGGGGAAAACCCGCCCCAACCACGATAAGACTGGATACCAGGCTATGAGACAAGGGGTGGGAGGGGTTTAGTCGTGATGTGGGAGACTAAACCTAACATATGCCTATTCGTAAGTCTAACCCTAGCCCTGAACAATGATCCCAACCCCAACCCTAACCCTTAGTCTAATACCTAATACCAACCCTAACCCTAGCCCTCTCACGTATTTGGCCCAACAACGGGCCATTTCCAAGAAGCGACTATCACAAGGAAGAACAGGAACTTATTGGAAAAGGAAGTGGCAATGGATTTACCCCACCCACCACAACCAGTGAGCAAGATTTATTTTAAGACAAAAAATGCAAAACACGTGATAACAAATGTTGCAAAAAACTTTTTCAACAAACCATAAAGCCATCTTCATGACTGGCTTGGTTACAGTATGAAGTTGTGGGGTCGTACGCGTGAGGCGCAGTCGGTAGCGCGTTCGGCTCACACCCAAGAGGTCGCGGGTTCGAACCCTGCCCATGTCACCCATCTTGTGCCCTTGGGAAAGGCACTTTACACGACTTTTCTCACTTCTCTCAGGTGTAAATAATAATAATAGTAATAATAATGATAGTAACCTTTATTGTACATTCATGCCCTATCGGGCTATTAGTACAGGTCAACAGATGAAAAAAGTATTGGAAGGAAGGGTTCAATTTCGGGGCGCAAGGTAAAAGGGGTGGAACTTCGTCTTTACCACCCATATCTTAACCCGAACAGAGGACAGAGTGACGCGGGATTTGGTGCTATCCCAAGTCGCTATGCACTATGGGAGGGGTAAGACCCTCACATGTTATTCTTTCCTTTTGTGGTTCAATGACTTAGACATTATCAGTTTCTGATCACTTTTGAAATGCTTACTCTCCTGTTTGTATCCTCTAGATTGGACTTCTGCTAGGAAAGGAAGCAGAACTTGGTCCATGAAAAACAGGGGACGAACCTAACAGAGCTGAACCCAGCCATCCACAGAAGGATACATCACATCACAACCATTTCTAGAAACACATTATATCTCCAATTTGGCCAGTAAATATTAATTATGCATGTATGTTTTACATTAAGTTACACTTTACATTACATTAAGTATGTATGTATAGTTTTATAGAGTGTGCAATTGCCAATATTTTTCACAACTGTAGATTTTCATTATCATTTATTTCATATCAAATTCCAAAGAACACTTATTATATATAGAAGTGGGTAAATTCGTTGGCTCGGCGATCAAAAGAACATGTCAAATAAAACCCAACAAAACTGGCTTGATATATATCTTACGTACTGTAGTATAAAGAGTAAAGTGTACAAGTCTAAGTCTAAGTAGTATAAAGTAGTAAGTCATACAAGTCTAAATAGTATAAAGAGTAAAGTGTACTGTAGAAATTCATTTTTGTTTTCAATTAACAAGTTACAATTAGCCTTCTGTCATGTATTTGTAATAAAAATAAACTTATCATCATCATTATTTCATCCTACGTCATGTTTTCTATTTACAAAAATGTAATAAGGTTGTGATGAGACCTTTGTAATTAAATGAGGCCTTTGTAATTAAAGCTATCAAAAAGACTCGAAGTTTACTTGGAGTCTGCAGAGGATGTCATCAATTAACTTTACATGCTGTGGCCTAATTGCAAACATGGTAAGATGGTGTGCTGAGTGAATCATTGGTACTGTGGTATGTAACGTTACATACATGTAATGATCTTTGAGTGGCAGACGGGTAGTTTTTAAATTTCATCCTTGGCCTTACAAGGGCAAAAACATTCAAATCCCCAGTTATAACGTTAATGTTACTCTATAGTAACAGTACATAGAAGTCAGTGATATAAGCAAAATATCCTTCTACCCATCTTTTCCTAACAAAGGTATAACGTTAAATCATAGGCAAGACCACCCTGAGGTAAACATATTGCATTTGCTTGCAAATGTTACCTTTCTAGTTACTATTTCTTTAAGTCATTTGAACAATATGCATGAAAGTTATAGATCCTATATCTACTTATGACGTTATGAGTTACAAACAAGTGCTTTTGAAAAAAGCTGACATTTCGGCTGACGAAGGTTTTACTGCCGTTATTGAGGTAGAAGTTGTTGAAATGATATTACCCAAGTTGATGAAATTGTTACGAGACCACTTAAAGAAGAAAACACATGTACATCTGATATATGTATGTAACTCTTCATATATACATGATGAAAAATAGCAATTTTGAAACCCGCAGCACTGTGACGATTTTGATGACAGCACATGCTACACAAAAAACAAATGCTTCATATTGACATTCCTGAGTAAGAACAATGCAGCAGGCAAACGTAAAAGTGCAAACATAATAGAGAAACATAGAAACCTCGCGAGGACTTTTCATGCAACAACGACATCTAGCGACATGCGGCATGTCTGCAGGCCTTAAAAAGCAAAACAGCGGATGTTAAAAAGACAATTTAAAAAACTCATACGTCGGGACTTGAACAATTAGTTTTTGAGTGTTAAAAGCAAAACAGCGACTGTTAAAAAGAAAATTTAAAAAAAGTTCCTCTCCGGGGATCGAACTCGCTATGTGCAAAACCCGCCACCGCCACTCAGCATCGCTACCGCTTGAGCTATCTGATTGCGTAACTGTCTGACTGCCTAAGCAACATAGTATACATAGCAATCCGAGAAAATTGGGCAGTTCCGAGCAGGATGAACGAATTATGATTGAAGCATGAAAGCCCGTCTTTAAAAAGAGTAAGTATCAAACGTATTGACATTCCTGAGTAAGAACAATGCAGCAGGCAAAGGGCAAACATAAAAGGGCAAACATAATAGAGAACTAGAAAGGCCGACATTTGCTTGGGAGCAAATACAGCATATTTCAGTCCATCTCCCTCCCACGCAAAAGTGGACTATTCCAAACTTACCCCAGTACAAAACTGGCAAAGGTTCTCAAATAGTAGCTATATGAGAACAAAGATGCAACAACAAGTACTTTGGATCTCGAAAGCTTTACTAATCTTATTGCAGGTATGCAAAAACTAACAATGATGAGATTTGATACATTTTGAAGGTCTTAGGCACATAAAATTGAATGTGTGGGTTATTACGCACCACTTAGGTGCAATGTGACCTCAGGTAACCCGCAATGGAACATGTGTTCCATGGATGGAACCGGCCATTCTTTAGATAGAACATGGAACGGGTACAGCACTTTTGGCCCTTTTTTGCTGAAAATAGCCATTAAAGTCCCCCAAATGAGTCATTTGGAAGTGGTGTATGCCAAATATGTGACTGCTATTCTGTAGACACATGTTCAAGGTACCCTTATACCGAATTTCAGATCATTTGGTTGTAAAACCAGGGCTCAGGATCCAAAAATCCATTTTTTGGCGAAAAATGCCCCAAAAAACCTTCATAAAATTTTTCAAAGGCATGTATAAAAAAAATGAAAAAAACGCCTGGGGGTATTGGCTCACTCTACCTCCATGCCAAATTTCAAGTCATTTGGCTGAATGATGGCGGAGTTGAATCCCTTTGACTGTGTGGCAGGAGGAGGAGAAGAAGAAGGAGGAGAAGAAACATCAGAGAACACAATATATTTCATCCATACCATG